TTTCTGTTTTTAGTAGAGACAGGGTCTTGCTCTTTCTTGCTAAGGCTGGTCTCAAACTCCTCAGCTCAAGTGATCCTCCTGCCTCAGCTTCCCAGAGTGCTAGGATTATAGCCATGAGCCACCAAGCCCAGTCAAGGGCACAATTTTTAAATCCCAAATCCTGAAATCCAAAAAAATTCTAAAGCCCAAAAGTTTTTTGGCAGCCAAACTGAACTGGCCTGAGTCATTTGGCTGCAAAACCTGCCCTGAACTGGTGTGAGGATATTTATAGACCTAATTTATCGTACTTCAGGTGAATATTCATGTTTCTCTGCCAAAATATGAATCTGTCTGATTACAGGGAGCCCTAGACCTTGCTGGGACTATTTATATAATAATTGATATTTGTGCTCTATTGCCTCCTAAATTCTGATGTTCAAAATACATCGGGAACCAAGGAATTTGAATAAGGAATAGGAAAATGATGTCTTATGAAATTATATGGACATGAATTTAAATCTTGGATCTGCTGCTAATTACTAACTATGTGACTTTGGATAAATTATTTAACTTCCTGAACTTGGTTCCTTATCTATAAAAATGGAGAAATCAACTAGTGCTACAAATGCTTGGATGGTACTTGTCTAACTTGGGAATCACTTTTTCAACTTTTTAACATTATTTTTTCCTAAAAAGTCACTCTCCTCTCCCTGCCTCTGCCTTCACTAAATATCAGAACTTGATGGCAATCCCTACATTCACAGTGTTCCAAATGTTGCTCATGTCCTTTTGTCTAGGTATTTACAATGTCTAACAGAGCTAAACCACAACAGCATGCTGATCTATGTACTGTCACAATCTAGGTATGTGGTCCTCAAGGACAAGAATCATGACTTTTCCTTTTCTGGAAATACCTGTACCTGTTGTAGGGGGAAAAAAAACACAGACTCAGAATCTGAAATATGACTCTGTCACAAATAAAAAATAGAAAAATAGATGAGAATGAGAAGGAAAGTTTGTACTCACCAGAGGTTGGGAACCACCTCAGCCCAATTCCTTAAAAAACATTAGGATTACAAACTTTCCTCTATGGTGAGCTCAGCCTAAAGCCAGCCCACTATTTTCTTGATGACAATAGGGGAAGAAGGGCTCTACGATACTCAGGTAGGGGAAGGAAACCTCGTGCTACTGGGCAGGAGAAAAAAGGCTGGTTACAAGTTAGCAAATATCAAGAAGAGGTCAATACTGCCCAGGAAAATATTGAACATCCATTAAAGTTCAGGGTTTTTGTCTAGAAGAGCCAAACATTATAGATCTTTTTTGGTATTTGAGATTTTAACCAGTTCTGTGAGCTATAAAGACTGCTTTCTTCTTCACATACTGATAGGACGATGTCCAATAAATTCTTCTCAGCTGCTAAATGTAACATGTTCAGTAGTGAAAAGCATAGCATGAAATCAGAATCTGAGTGTTTGAAGAGACCTTAGAAATTAATCTAATATCTTGATCATTTTACAGATGAAAAACTGAAGCTCTGAAAAGCTTAGTAACTTGATTAAATTTACACAGCTGGTAAAAGGCAGAGCCAGAAGGATTCAAATCCTTCTATCCATTAATAGAATAATAAATAAATGACAGCCTATGCCTCCATTGGAAGATCTTTGTATTAAAATTAAGTATCCTGGGACAGGTAGCAGTGGTGTTGTAGAAAGAGTGTAGGAGATAGACTCAGAGACCTACTTCTAGCAGTAGCTCTGCCACTAACTTAGGCAAAGCAAAAGAGAGTGGAAGTCCTTTCCAGTTGTGAGGTGTTATGAGGCTATAGTTCTTCTCAAGTAACATGAGATAAATGTAATCTCCAAAAGTAATAACCAGAGAAGACACTTGATCCTGTATGAATCTGATATGACAGTCTTAAATGCTAAATTGAATATAAAATAAAAAAGATTTTGCTCTGATTGCCCAAGATGTGAATGTATGGTATATTTAAACACATGGCAAAATATATTTTTAAATTCTAGAAAATGTTATTTTCTCTTCTGGGAAATTATTAGGAATTTTAATTTTATGCATACCCCAAGTCTTCAACTATTTATGACTGTTCAAAAGAAACCATGCTGAGTTTCTCTGTCAATGACTTCTAATCAACGAAGCCTTCTATATGCTCAGCATAAATAGGTGATGAAAGCAATGAAAGGGCATTGCCATTTGTTACAACACTTGACATTTCATAAGACTATCTAAGATGCAGACCCCTTGGGAGAGGAAAGGAGAAACTATTAAGAAAAGAGACTAAAGAATACTTAATAAAATCCTACCCTATTGCTTTTACTTTTCAAAAAATATTCAACTTGCCACCAATGTAACAGAACAGAGAACCCAGATATAAAACCATCTACCTACTATCAGCTGATCTTTGACAAAGCAGATAACAATGTACACTGGGGAAAAGAAGGCATATTCAATAAATGGTGCTGAGAAAATTGGATAGCCATATGCAGAAGAATGAAACAAGACCCCTGCCTCTCACCACTCACAAAAATTAATTCAAGATGGATAAAAGACTTAGCTCTAAGGCATGAAACCGTAAGAATTCTAGAAGAAAATATAGGAAAAACTCTTCTAGATGTTGGCCAATGCAAAGAATTTATGAAAAAGACCCCAGTGCCAATTACGGCAACAAAAAAAATTAAACTAAAAAGCTTCTGCACAGCTAAGGAAATAATCAACAGAGCAAATAGACAACCTACAGAATGGGAGAAAATATTCGTAAGCTATATATCTAAGAAAGGGCTAATAACCACAATTTACAAAGAACTAAAGCAAATCAGCAAAAACAACCAAACAACTCTATTAAAAAGTGGGCAAAAGATGTGAACAAAAGCTTCTCAAAAGAAGAAAGACAAATGGCCAAGAAGCTTATGAGAAAATGCTCAATGTAACTAACCACCAGGGAAATGCAAATTAAAACCACAATGAGATGTTACCTTATGCCAGTTAGAATGGTTTTTGTTAAAATGTCCAAAACAATAGATACTGGTGTGGATACAAAGAGAAAGGAACGCTTATCTACTATTGGTGGGACTGCAATTAGTACAATCTCTATAAAAAACAGTATGGAGATTCCTCAAAGAACTGAAAGTAGACCTACCATTTGATCCAGCAATCCCACTACTGGGTATTTGCCCAAAGGAAAAGAAGTCATTTTATCAAAAAGACACCAGAACTCAAATCTTTATTGCAGCACAATTCACAATTGCAAAGGTGTGGAATCAATCCAATTGCCCATCAATTCATGAATGGATTAATAAAATGTGATATATGTATACCATGGAGTGCTACTCAGCCATAAAAAAGGTGAATTAATACCTTTTGCAACAAACTGGATGGAACTGGAGACCATTCTCCTAAGTAAAGTATCTGAAGAATGGAAAAACAAACACCATGTGTACTCAGTAATAAATTTTAACTAACCAATGAACACACATGTGCACAGAGGGAAATAAAATTCAGTGGAAAGCATTGGGGGTGGGGAGGGGAGGGAAATAAACCAACCTATTGGGTACTATGAACACTATTTGGATGACAGGCACATCTATAGCCAGGACTCAAGTATTACAAAAACAATCCATATAACCTAAAACATTTGTACTCCCCTGAAAAAATGTTTTAAAAAAATAAACATTCAACTCACCCTGTTTGGGGACCCCTGTCCTTTTTTCTTGTTCATGTCAATTTGATTCTTTCTTTTTACTCCATACCCTTGTGCTTCCTCTTGTTAAACTGACGTGTGGCAAATCTTTGAGATATCAATTCTCAGTAGATACCCTTCAATATTACTGAAGATCCTGTGCTTGCATCTTTGGACTTCATTATTTTTTCCTCTACATACTTTTTATTTCAAACCATGTAATATACTTTAAAACATGTGTTCACATTATCTTTGGGGGAAGTACTCTTACCCTATGAGACAGCGTACAGTAGAAACCAGAACCATGGAGCATTATATGAATTCACTAAAATAAGAATGTATATAAAACATTCACTCACAAAGTTGCACTGAATATTAGTTTTGAACCCAGTCTCAAGGCATACCTTCTAGTTTTTTCAGAAATTAGAAATGTTTTTTGGCAAGAGAAAGATCAGGCATGCTTGGGCTGGTATGCATTCATATTTCTGTTTTACTAACTAGATCCCCTGGAGATGTGGTGGTTGCTATAGGTCTTTCATTTGGTCTAAGTCGCTTCAATACTGATGCAGACTATTCTGACACTGCAGGTAGAGAAATTTCCAGACGGCACCATCTCAGGGGGAGTCATTTGAGTCATGACTGGCACACACCACTGAAAATGCCAAAAGGGTAGCAGATATTTTTAACTGATAGTAGTAGATTAGTAAGTGAGAAGGTACAGGAGCCTGCATTTGAGTTTATTTCAGGAATCAAAAACACCAGGCTCTCCAAGTCCCTGGTAGACTGTTTCCCTGCCCTAGAGAGCTTGTATAGCAGGCTGTAAAGTAGCGAGAATTTGCATATGGAATTCATGAGTAAATATCAAAATGGGAAGAAATGTTCCATTTTGTGTTTTACTGGAGGAAAACTGCTGCAGTGAGCCAGCTATCAGGCAGTGTCAGAATTGATTGGGCCATTCCCAAAAAATGTGATTTTTTTTTTATCTACCAATTATTCAAACATCCTGAGTTTCATTATAAAAGTGAGAGGCTGCATAAATGCCAGACTTAAGAAGCTCATCAAGTGAGAGATGATACCAGAGGCCCTTTGGGAACAGGACCAAATAATAGGGTTCAGACCTGAGTCACCCAGGTGGGCTTGAGAAAAGAGGATGAAATGTACGCTGAGAAAATTGGAGTGGTGAGAGAGCCATATGGGAAAATTTGGATAGATGAGACAGTGTTTTAGCAGCTGCTGTGAGTGCATAACATTTAGGCAACAGAGATGCATTAGTTATAATATCTATTGTCACAGTAACACTGCATAACAATTTTTCCTCAAAACTCACGGCTTAAAACAAAAGACATTTATTTAGCTTACACGTCTGTGGGTTATCAATTTAGACTGAGGTTGGCTTGGCAGTTCTGGCCTTAACTGGGCTCCCTCATGTGTCTGGCAACTTGCCACAAGTCAGCAGATCTTGGATAACCTCAGCTGGAACTGTAGCAATTCAGAACTGGGTCTCTTCTCCAGCAAGCTAGAAGCAGGAGAGAAAGCAAAAACACACAATTACTTTTTCCAAGCCTCTACTTACATCATATCTGCTAACATGCCATTGTTCAAAGCAAGTCCCATAGCCAAACTCAACCAAGAGATGGTGAAGTGGACTCTTCCTCATTAGTAAGAGAAAATAGTAAGTCAGAGGCAAAGGGTCCTGTGTCAGCTATCTATTGCTCCACTAAAAAACACTTCAAAGCATAGTAACATAAAACAACTATCGTTCAATTTCCTTATTATTCAGGGTTAGTCTTCTGCAGGTCTTTCCTAAGCTCGATCAATAGTTAGCTAAGGCTGGATAACCTAGGATGTCCTGATACCTGTGTCTGACAGCCGGGGATGGCTAGCTGCTGGATGGATATCAACTGGCTAAGCCAGGATTTCTCATGGTGGCTGGGTTACAAAAATGACAGGAGGACAATGTCCCATTGCACAAGTGCTTTGTGTCATGATGGCTAATGTCCCATTAGCCAAAGCAAGTTGTGTTGTCAAAGAAAGTCTCAGAACCAAGGCCAGGATCCATGCAGGAGGACGTGGGTACCAGATGTGATTTTGGGGGACTATTAATGTACCAGGTAGACGTGGATGCATCAGTGTACTGGCCTCACCAATGTAATCTATCTACAATGATCAACACTGAATGATGTTGAGAGAGAAATGTAAAGAGATTTTTAAAGCATCAGGACTGTACTTTGCAAGGAATTTTCAAAAGTACTAATAGCGGGGCAGGGGGTGGGTATATACATACATAATGAGTGAGATGTGCACCACCTCGGGGATGGTCATGCTGGAAACTCAGACTTGTGGGGGGAGGGAGGGAAAAGCATTTATTAAAACCTTAAAATTCATACCCCCATAGTATGTTGAAATAAAAAAAAAGTCAAAAAATAAAAAATTATTAATGGCACCATCTGGGGGATGGACACGCTTGAAACTCTGACTACGGGGGGAAGGGAGGGAAAGGCAACACAGGTAACCTAAACATTTGTACCCCCATAATATGCTGAAATTTAAAAAAAACAGATAATAAAATTTAATTATAGCAGAAAAAAAAGATGTTACATATAAAAATCTTATCTCTGTGCTGGATCAAACATAATTAAAAGTATTTTAATGTTAGAAAAAGAATACTAATAGCAAAGCTTTTTTTCAAGGTGCTTTGGTGGATTTTGCTACATAATGTACTTTACTTTCCCTTCAGCGTATGTATTTTTCAACATTAACAATAGCAAAGGGTTGAAACACTTCAAATTACTCCAGTTAAAAATCCTTAGCTACAGAAGATATTTCCTGAACTGTAATTCATGCAGGATTAAGCTATGAGCACCCTTGGCCTTATATGGGTTACATAATGATAATTTGGGTTATAGACACCAAAATGATCAGAATAGGCAATACATTTTGGTTCTGAAAAAAATATGGCTGCAAAATCATGAAAAATTTTTATCTTCATTTAAAAAGGTGGGGGAAAGTGACTAAACACCTTTTAGGCTGGCTGCTAGATTCACAGTGAGTGCCCCCTCATTGGGGTACACCTTCCTACGGAGGAGGGGTCCTCTGAGGCCTTATCTCTGAAACATGATTCTCCCTCACTGACCATATTGACTGATTAAAGAAGGACACCTGGCCTAAGCTGGGTCAATCACCTTTTCTATCCCAGGAATTTGAAACTGAAGAGTGAGAAACTCAAAACAAGATTAGCAGTTACTGATGCTGAAGCAAATTAATAGCAGTGCTTATTCATCTGAAGTTCCCAGAGCCAGCCTGCTTCCTGCCTCTTTTAGATGTTCAGCACATATTTGGGTTCCATGAGTTGTCCTAAAATTCTTCCGATAAATTTCCCTCCCCCCTCCCTCTTTTTTTTAACTTAAGCCAATTAAATTTGTTTTCTATAGGTAGTGGATGCTATAGTGTGGTACCCAGAACACCCTTCAGGACTGAGACACTCGTTCCTCCAGTAGCCTGGAACAAATCCACATGAGATCAAAAAATGGCCCCTGGATGAAGGGAGCACCTTGTCCCTTCCCTGGGGACAGCTCCTGATATGTCACCATTTCTACAGAAGACCCAGTCGACTACCCGGCAGCCATTTGATTTCACTGGACCCCTTCAATTTGCAGAAAGGCAGCAGCCCTCCTGGACTAGGATCAATACATAAATGCAAATATGCCCTGTCTTTGCTGCCCACCAGGTCTTGGCCAGGACCATTCTACAAGGGCTTAAACTATATTAGATCCGCTGACATGAGAATCCCCCTTAACACTGCCTTGGATTAAGAGATGCATATTAGAGGAAAGCAGGTATAGCAGTGGGCTTATGATTATAGAATTCATCGCTCCAACTACAAACCACACCCCCAGGGCCTTCCAGGCTGAAAGAGCAATGGAAGGCACAGCTAAGGCACCAGCTAGAAAATGGCCGTGACTATGGGCACCATCCTTGAGGACACGGAATACACCCTAAATTAATAACTACTGCATGCTCATGAGTGCCCATTGGGTAAAATACATGGACCCTGGAAGTGAAGTGTGCAGTGGGAGTGGCTCTGCTCACCATCACTCCCAATGACCCATTTGGGGAATGTGTGTGTCCCATCCCCAGATCTGGACTCGGTCAGTGTAAAGATTCTGGTTCCAAGAGGGTGAACGCTTCCACCAGCGAACATAGTAAACTAAGGCTGTTACCCAATCACTCCAGGGCCTATATCCCAAGTACCCAGACGCAAGGAAAGGGTTTGCCACACTCAGAGGGGTAACTGATCCTGGTATCATGAAGAAGTTACTGCTCACCTAGGTAGGAAGAATACACTTCCTGTGCTCCCTTGCCAAAAGTCGACAGTAAACGAACAAAAGCAACAGCCACATCCTGAGCAAAGCAATGATGACCAGGGACCCAGACTTCTCAGGGACAAAAGTCCAGGCTGTCCCCTAAGTAAGCCACCCGACCAGCAGAGGTGCTAGCTGAGGGTTAAAATATCTAGATTGGGTGGTAGAGAAGGGAGACAGTGAGTATCAGTTGCTGCCCTGACGGCGGCAGCAGTGGGGGTTGTGGTTTCTTCCCACTAACCTTTACCTTGTAAGTTTTCCCAGGAAATCAAAACAAAACAAAACAAACAAAAAAACAGAATGCGGGAGAATCCATTTCTCAATGGGGTGAACTTACTTTAGGAAGCAGGTGGATCCGAGCAGCGTGAGGGGTGGAGAGAAGAGGAAGTTGGGACACACTGCTCCATACCCGCTTTGTGACTGAGGCCCTCATTTCCACAGCTGTCAAGAGCATTGGTAGCTGACACCTCAGAGCTGTGTCCCTTCCGGGAAGTGTGCTCAGTCAAGGGGAGACACCCAGGCCAAGTCCACGACCCTTCCCGTGGGGCAGCACACATCCAATGGTCCAGGCCTCTGCGGCAACTTAGAACAACTCCAAATGGCCATCCCAGCTCCAGAGCTCCCTGTGGGGTTGCCTGGGGCCTTTGTGCAACCGCATCACAGGCCAGCTTCTGCTTCCGCCTACTCCTGCCTCCCTGCTTCCTTTCAGACGTTGTCCCGAGTTGAGACCGCAAGCCTCGGTAAACTCAACCTAAGACGCTCCAACCTCACTCACAGTGAATATAGCAGCATCTTTTGGAGGAAGATGACATAACAAGTGAGCATGGGGCAGCGGGGAGGGCAAGGGAAGGAGGGACAGAGAGACAAAAAACCCTGCAAGCTGGACACTATAATTACCTGCATTTTACAGGTAAGGACATGGAAGCTTGGAACTTTTCAGATTTCTCTAAAGTCAACTGAGCATGACCAAGTCTGTCTGACTCGAGCACCTGTATTTTACTATAGACTATTACATTATTCAAAAATAGTCCATTTTTCCTTGTATGCCTCCATACTGGGCTGGAGATGAAAAAAATAAAAGCAAGCATTCCTATTATTCCCTCCCAGAAGCTCTCCACGAGCTCAGCCTATGCTGAAGCCAAAATAAGACACTGTCTCACAAGAGCAGCCACTTCGCTAGTCTCTAATGCCAATGTTACAAGTTAAATGAGCTCTGTATTAACAGCCGTGTAATATAAATATATTCCCATTATATTAACAATGGCTGGACACTTTCCGGACAGACCTCGTATATCAGGCCCTATGTAAAGACTCTGTATACCAAGCAGCTAAGTAGCTCGTAAGCTGTGTCCTGAATATTGGGCAAATGTCTTTGTATCTGAATATTAACACCATTTGTGTCTAGAGGAAGAATTATAGGGGTTTTGTTTGTCTTTTCTAACTTTTCTAACAGAATTATGCATTAAGAATTATGAAGTAAAGTATAAGATATTATGATTTATGATACTCCTCGAAAGGATGGAGAAAATGCTGCTGAAAGTATGCAGCAGAGAAAGAAGGCTGGATGGTATTTGGAGGCCCCAGGGTGCCCTAAAATGGACCATTCAGACACCATTCTGATGCAGGCTCTTCCCAAGCAGAGAAAGGAAAGATTATGGAACACTGGTCTCATCATTTCCCATGCAATTCAGGCAGCTTTGCTTTTGTGAACTGCAGGTCAAATTGTGTACTTTATGAATTGGCAGAACTTTATATATTCATGGACATAGATTGAAAGTCAGAAGGACGACGAACTCTCCCTCTTATCAGAAACAGTAAATGTGTTCAAAATTTTCACCAAAGATAAAAGTTATTAATAGCCGAGTTGATGCTGTTATTCTTTTAGAGGACAAGGTTGGAAAACCAATTTGTAAAAATGTCTTTACAAAGACTTTATGAAGAGAAAATAGTAATTGGTTGCGACGCCTTACCATGTTCACGATAATGCCTCCGCTGGGGTTATTTCACTGAACTCCATGATCAAACAGTATATCTATTTGTGGAATTTTATTTTTCCAGCCTGCCGTTGGAGTAATCTTTTTAAATGAGCCGACTACTTAATTGCCTTATCATGGGATCTGGTAGTCACAGCCACAGGAAGGATAATCAGCATAAG